GATCCCACATCTTCTGTGTCTTAAGTAGCATCACAGCAGCCATCTTTGTTTTCAGGCAAAACCCTTCAACTTTCAAATTGGTGGGTTAAATTATCTCAGTCTTTTCAGGTTGGCCAGATAAGCACTCTAGGGTGGAACCCTCAGGGTCTTCTCCATGGAGGACCTAGAAGAAGGAAGTTCTGCATCCCTGGAGAAGATGGGACAACAGTAGAGTGGACACTTTCAATCTGTTTCTCCACCTGTGTACTCCATTTTAGGGGTGGCAAAAAAGTGGATTTTTATTTTACTAGAAATTCTTAGCTCACACGATTCTTTTCCAAAGTCCCTCTCCTAGGTCTTATGGGGAATCTTCAGAGATAGCCATGCAATGAGGCATGAAGCCTGTTGTAATTACTATCAAGTACTTTTTCTTCCCATGAGGACAGATTGGATGGTCTGATTGTGACAACTGTACATTTTTCTAAGATATGAAAGAGATCTAAATACTCCTTTCTAAAAGCAGACTCCTGGCAGTGTGGGCATATGAGTTTGGCTGATGGAGGCATACTAAAAGGATTTAGGGCATCGAATGGATGGAACTTCACAGTCCTCTCCTCTTTAGCAAGCTCCTTAGAAATGAGGGTGGTAAAAGTTTGGCTCACTTTGGACATGTCATCAGGAAAGACCAATATCTAGAAAAAGATCATGTTTGGTAAAGGAGAGGGTCAGCAAAAATGAGGGAACCTTTTAATGAGATGGACTGATGAAATAGTCACAACAGTGGGTTCAAACATTCCAATGATTTTGAAGATGGCGCGGGACCTGGCACTATTTCCTTCCGGTATATATACAAAAGGTCACCAATTCAGTGGCAGCTGACTACAACAAACAGTTGGTGAAGTTGACGTTCTTGTTCAAAAATACACAGCTGTCCTAGGTTTTTCCTGGCCCACATATCACATGGCAAATCATTTCTCAGAGATTACACAAAAGAGAAGAATTAATTTAAGAAACAGGATGCAAAATGTTTTAATTTTTCCTCGTTTTTCCGGTATGGTGCTGTAGAATAAGCACTGGACTGCTAATTACCAGGTTGGTGGTTGAGACCCACCAGTCGGTCCTTGAAAGCCCTAGGTAGGGTAGCTGTGAATTGGAACTGACTTGGCGGCACTGAACAACCACCACAACAGCACGTTGCCTGAAATATTACACGTGTGTAGTTGATTTTGTACGTTTCCTTTTTAAGCGTGCTTCTCTGAGCACAAGTCTAGGAAGTGGGTCCACACAGGTCTGAGCAGGAGCACAGCTTCAGTGGGCTGGACCTCACCCTGTCTGTAGAGGGCATCTCCAAGGCATGAACACACCTTCCTTTGCTTTTTGAACCAATGACAGCCTGCTGGAATGGGGCGGTTTAGTGTTGCTGGTTCTGAGGGAGTGCACTTCTTTGGCATTTTAATTGTTTTGTTTTCCTCTGCCAAGAGAAGAAGGCAGAGTCACAGATCCAGGACCCACCTCCCCAAACAAATTGGAATGCAAAGGGCAAAGAAAACAAATTCATGATGCTTTCTGTTGTTAAGTGCCAGCCCATAGATTCCTACTCAGAGACCCTGAAGAGGGTTTCTAAGGAATGGATAGTGGGTTTGAACCACCAACCTTGCAGTTAGCATTCCACTGCTTACTATCCTGGAGCACCAGAGCGGGACTCCTTTCTTCTTGTTGGTGTTGATAAGTGCTGTTGGGTCTGTTCTAACTTATGGTGACCCTGTATAGGGTTTCCAAGGAAGCACTGGTGGGTTTGAAACGTCAACCCTGTAGTTAGCAGTTCAGTGCTTATCCTACAGCATCACATCAGGACTCTGGACTCCTTTCTGTTGTTAAGTGCTGGTGAGTTGGTTCCAAATCATAGCAACCCTGTATAGCATGTCTGAGGAGCGGCTGGTGGGTTTCAATTGCCAACCTTGTGGTTCCCAGTCCATTGATTATCCTACAGCACTGTACCAAGACTCCTTTCTAATACTTTGTAAATTCAGCTTTCAACTTTCTAAATCTATGGTGTCCCAAGTAGAGGGCAGTACAGCCAAGATGACATATGTTGTTGTTGTTAAGTGCCGTCGAGTCGGTTCCGACCCATAGCGACCCTGTACAAGGTTTCCGAGGGTGTAAATCCTTACAGGAGTAGAAAGCCTCATCTTTCTCCCGCAGAGCGGCTGGTAGTTTCAAACCGCTGACCTTAAGGTTCGCAGCCCGATTCGTAACCACTACGCTACCAGAGCTCCTTATAGGCATCATAATAAGAATGGGAAGAATGGTACTGACTCCTAAGTGAAGCTTACTCTGGGCCAGTCAAGTGTGGAGACCATCTCCTATTAGCCTCCCCACCACCTTGCAGCTGGATAATACATGTATGCCAGGACTGCATGGGAAAGGGAGTCACAGAGTTCCAGTCACTTGCCAGGGTCACACATCCAGTTGTGGTAGAGCTGGAGCTGAACTCCAGGTTCATCTGACCCCAGAGCCTGTGCTCATTTCATTACCACATTACCTCTACAACTGGGCAGAGAACATGGCCTCTGTCGGGATAGCAAGCTGTAAGACAGTCTGAGTCTAGACACATTATTTCTAGAAAGAAAACCAGGTAAGAGGAGGAGTTAGGGAGGAGAAGACAGGGAAAGGAGGGGAAGTGTGGGCAGACAAGGGGTACAGAAGCGGGTACAGAGAAGACTCTCATTATTTGCAGATTGTATTCATTCTCTTGGTTTCTCAAAATAGAGTTTGCAGACATTTTAGACTTTGAGTTTGGTAGTGAATGTGTTTTCTATGAGTTATTCAATCCAAGAAACTATGGAATTACTTTGAGATACCTGAGGTTTTATGATGCATCTTCATGCCTCACTGTGGTTAAGTGTCCACAGTAAAAGAAAAGGCAGCATAGAGCATAAGCTACAACCATCAAAAGATGGCAACTGTCAGAGATTCAGCGCCATCAACCAAAGTCACAGACATACCAAATGACAAACCAGAGGTGGATTCTAAAGACTTAGGAGCAGACAAATCTTCTTGGAATCTTTGTTGTTGTTGTTATGTGCTGTTGAGTTGGTTCCGACTCGTAATGACCCTGTATAGGGTTTCCAAGCCTTTGAATCTTTGCAGGAGCAGAAAGCCTCTTCGTTCTGCCTAGGACTGACTGATGGCTCAGACTGTGGAACTTGTGGTTCACAGGCCAGTGCTCTCTGAATCTTTGGATCATGATTTATTATCGGTGTGATCTAGATGAGCTCCTTAACCTCTTCCAGCCTCACTTTCCCCATTGCAAAGGGATTCTTGTGCCTGCTTCAGAGGGTGGGTGTGAGTACAATAAAATAATGTTCATGAAAATCTTCCACATGCTACAGAAACTCAACAGAAGGTATGGTGAGGAGCTCTAATCCTCCTATCTGTTCATCTGGGGGGTCATTTCAGACCAAGTTTGAAGTTACCAGAGCCAAATCAACAGAGCAGTTACCAATGATCAGTGGGTCAGAAGAAGCAAGCTCACACCTGGAGAGTTCATGTGCCCTGTTGTTAAACAAACAAACAAATAAACAGTTGTCGTAGGGTCGATCCGGACTTACGGAGACCCCATGTGTGTCAGAACAGAACTGTGCTCCACATGATTTTCCATGGTTGTGATCTTTCAGAAGTATATCACCAAAGCCTTTCTTCCAAGGAGCATCTGGGCAGACTTGAATGCCAACCTTTTGGTTAGGAGTCAAATTCTTAATTACTAAAGCCACCCAGAGATTCACAGCCCTCTTCTTAACTGGGGATTAAGGCACCGTTCCTGAATGAAATCAAGGATCTGTTAGCAAGTAGGAAGTGTCAGGCACAGCCCAGGCCATGTGGTGTGGAATTCCAGTTGCTTAAATCCCTCCTGCCCATTCCATGCTGGGAAGCAACAGAAGAGTCAAGTCTACAGTGGAGGGTGTGTGTGTGTATGTGGCTGTGGTAAGTAGCAGTACAGGGTTGTTGCTTTTGCTGACATCGTAGCTCTCATCCAGCCTGACACACCCAAGGTCAAATCATCCAATGTGGTTCTGGTAACTCTTCTTCCTTCATAGGAAGGCGTAAGCCAAAGAAAACATATCTGTCCCCCATGTCACCTTTGTCTACCTCTGTACTTATTAACTTTGCTGTGGTTGTGTCAGGATGTGATGCTTGGAAGCTCTGTCACTATTTTGGAACCCTGGTGGAACTAACTACAGTCTCTGTCTCGTTGCTATAAACACTCTAGTTTCAGACTCTTGGACCTCAATCTCTTCTCTCCCTTGATGAACCTCTGTTTGTCAGACAAGCCAAGAGCTGGCTCTTGGAAGCAGCTCTCCAGTGATTTCCCACTGGATACAGTGCCACCCTTCAAAGTAACTTGGAGGTTTTGGGGTCTTGGCTGCTCCCCACTCTGCAGCTCCCACCAGTTGCTCTGGCAGAATAATGTAGTTTCTTCCTAGGGCCATCTTCCTACTAAAGCTCTTCTTTCACCTTCAGGTTCTGGCTAGCTTCTACTCACCTCCAGGAGCAGTGTGGACATCTACCCCTGTCAATCCTCCACAGAACCTTGGATGGAATGAGCTGGTCCTTCTCTACTCTCTCCTCACAGCTTGGATTTGATTCATTGTGAAGTTACCTGCAGCCTATTGAGACGGTCTGTGTGTTCAACTCTCCCACTACACTGTATTCTCCCTGAAGGACTATGTCTGGCTCCTTGTTCTACCTTTGCAAGGAAATTTGCAACACAGATGTGTTGCATAAATCATTCAAAGTGAGGTATCATTGGAAAATAATCAAGCTAGTATGTGCATTGGCTCTTAGGGAACAGCAGATGGAAATGTAATTTTTCTGAAACTGCATTTCAATTCACAACCAGGCTTTAAGATGAAGCGGAGATGGGTTGGTTTGTCCTTCCTATAGTGGACATGGAAGGCCCAGGCATGGTGGAAGGGATAGCCCACTAGTGTAGTCACCCATGGCTGCTAGGAAAACATTACCTGATGGTCTTAATCATGCTGAGGCCCATTTCAACACAGCAGTGCGCATGGTCCTGACGGGGTTCTGGAAGTCCAGAAACGCAGTAGTAACAGTCTCCCAGGATCTTAATGCGGAGACAGTGATGCTCCTGGAAGGAAAAGAGTGGGAGAAAAAGGGTCCATATCAGCAGATGGGCTGGTGTTTCAGAAAGTCTTGGGAGAGAGGGGGGCATGGTTAGGTGTCTGCACCTGGGCAACAAGAGCACCTGTCCTAGAAGCCTCTGCCTTCTGATGAAGTTTGGGGTATGCCTTAATAATGAAGTCACAAAATACAAGGGATCTTGAACTTGACAAGTCTAGGGCCCCATCTTGGCTCTGCTCTGTCCTGGGTCTGTGATGGGCCAGGGGATCATTGATCATTCAATATGCAAAATGTTCCCTGCTTATCCAACCTCTAGCAATGCCTTCCTTTTCAGAATGCCTCAACAGTTTTTCAGTATTCTTTAGGACTCCTGGTGTGGTGCTCTAGGATCAGCATTGGACTTGGAACCACAAAGTCAGCAGTTCAAACCACCAGCTGCTCCTCACAAACCTTATACAGGGTTGTATGAGTCTGAACTGACTCAAAGGCACTTAACAACAACAGCTCAACAATGGTGGTAACCGCACAACACGGGTGATGGTGTGCCCTTGAATCAGTTCCAACTCATAGTGACCCTGTACAGGGTTTTTCAAGCTGTGAATCATCATAGGAGGAGAAAGCCTCATCTTTCTCCCACAGAGCCAGAACAGCTGGTAGATTCGAACTGTGGACCTAGTTAGCAGCACAACACAGATTCCACGATACTACCAGAGCTCCTTTAACTCAACAATATTGTTGTTAAGTACTGCTGAATTGGTTCCGACTCAGTGATTCTGTCTAGGGTTTCTGAGGAGTGGCTGGTGGGTTTGAACCACTTACTTTATCCTATAGTACCACACCAGGACTCTAACAATAACTTATAAAATACGTGATCACTGCGGGCTTCCTAGTATTTCAACTCTATTTTAAGCTCCTTCTCAGTGAAGGGTTTGGACCTGAAGAAAAAGGGCTGGCTAGGTCTTAAAATCCTTTTATTCATTTATTAATTCATGTACTTGCTCAGTGAAAAAAAATCATTTGCACATTTCTGATTAGCCAAGCATCGTCCCTGGGTGCTGAGGACACAAAGTTTATCAGTAATAACGGCCACTCGGAGCATGCATCATAGATCCAGCAGACTTCGTCTTCACGACAACTCTGGGAGGGTGTCTGCCTCATTCCATAGGTGGTAAATTGGAGTCAGTAGGTATGTTGATGGAGTCATAATCCTTAGGACACAGTTTGTGAAAATTCTCAGGGAACTACAAGAACCAAGGGAAATGCACTGAGAGAGGTTACAGGTAGCAGGTTTTAGAGGAAGAACTTGAGGCAGTTGAGCTTAGGGGTAAAGAGCACAGGCTGAAGAGTCTCATTACACAGAATTCAATCCCAGGCCCCTCACATCTTGCTATGCTTCTGGGTAATTCACTTAACCTCAAAGCCTCAGTTGCCACATTTTGCAAAATTGGGAGAATAGAGTCAGCCTCATTGTGTGGTTGTGAGGAGTATATGATGTAAGGCAAGTGAAGGCTTAGTGCACGCTCTGGCAGATGGGGAGCTAGATCAACACTTCCTGTCTGATGAAGACTTGATACAAGTCTTTATTCCTTTGCATTTCTATTTGGGATCATGGACAGGCCTCTTGGGTCCCTTGAATGGATGAGCTGGACAGGCTGACCTCTGAAATGCCTCTGGATGGCCACTGAAACCCTAGGAATGTGTGGTTCTACGGGTGGGCGGGTATTCTCTCTGAAAGAGCAGGTCACAAGAGGGTGGATGCCAGCAGACAGAGGCCACTGAGAAGCCAGCTGGAAAGCACAAAGCTGCTTTCCTAATTGTACCAGGAGTTAGACCATTATGTTTGTATAACAAATGAAATCACCCTTCCAATAAAAGACAAATATCACACAAGGCAAAGAGACTCAGAGCTGGCTCTGATGCTTCCCCGTCTGGACCATGTCTCCAGGGCCCTGCCAACCTTCCAACGGGTACAGATGCAGTCTTCAGAACCCTGATGCCATCGCTGCCTTCCCAAGGTTATTTTTAGGACCTGTGGCTTCTGGCTATTGGCTGTTTCAACGCAGCTAATTTTGAAATAGAGCTGAGGATGAGGTCTGATCAGTAAGGGAGACTCAAGACCTTTGGTGCCTCTTCTAAGACTTCCAGCTGGCATGGCCAGAGTGGAGCTTAACGGTTACTTTGTCTGTTAGCCCTGGCATTTTAGTTGTCTGTTGGTGGGTTTGGGGTGCTTCCTTGGAATAAGATAAAACTCACATCCTCTGGGGCAACCTTAGTCTTTCTTATGATTTAATTATATATAGTGGCATCCATGAGAAAAATATTTTTAAAAAAATCAAATTGACTAAAGGACTATCATGGGTTACAATTTTTGTCTTTGGCTAAGATTGTTGTTGTTGTGTGCCGTGGAGTCATTCTGACTCATAGTGACCCTGCATAGGGTATCCAAGGCTGTAAATCTTCACAGGAGCAGAAAGCCTCATCTTTCTCCCATGGAATGGCTCAAAGTCCTCAGCAGGATGATGTGCTGGACCGAAAGGTCAGTTTGAGCTGCAAAGTCAGCAGTCCAAACCCATCAGCTGCTCCTCAGAAACCCTATAAAGGGTCACTATGAGTTGGAACTGACTCAATGGCACTTAACAACAACAACAAAGGGAGTATTAATAATTCATGAACCTTCAACAAGAACAGTGCACTGATCAACTTCTAGCCTCATCACTTTATGATGGGGGATTTTTCACACCAATAAAGGGGAAGACATATTTTTAGAATAAAGGGGAGTTAAGGAGCTCTGGTAGCATAGAGGTTACGAATCAGGCTGTGAACCGCGAGGTCAGCTGTTCGAAACTACCAGCTGTTCTGCAGGAAAAAGATGAGGCTTTCTGCTCCCATAGAGATCTACAGCCTTGAAAACCCTGTACAGGCTCTCTATGAGTCGGAACCAACTCCATGGCACACAGCCACCACCACAAAGAGCTCTGGTAGTGTAGTGGTTATGAAGTGGGCTGTGAACCACAAATGTCAGCAGTTTGAAACTATCACCTGTTTCATGGGAGAAAGATGAGGCTTTCTGCTCCTGTAAAGATTTACAGCCTCAGAAACCCTGTAAAGGGTCGCTTATGAGTCGGAACCGACTCCACGGCACATAACCACCACCATTTATACTAAGGAGTCGATGGCCGATATAAATGGTGAACATACCGAAGTGCTAACTGAAAGGCTGGATGTTGGAGTTCACCCAGAAGGATCTCACACAGACTGGCAATCTGCTTTGAAAAACCCAAACTACATCCATTGCCATTGAGTTAATTTCAACTCACGGTGACTCGTATGTTACAGAATAGAATTGTGTCGTAGGATTTTCTCAGTTGTGCCCCTTACAGAAGCAGATTGCCAAACTCTCCCTCTGTGGCGTGGCTGTGTGGGGTCAAATCACCCATCTTTAGGTTAGTAGTTTGTGTCACCCAGGAACCTTACAGTGATTGATGACCCTGTGAGTACAGTCCCATTCTGACACACATGGGGTCACCAAGAGTCAGAATCAACTCAAGGACCACTGGTTGATTTACACTCAATACATTTGTTGTTGTTGTTAAGTGCCGTCGAGTCGAGTCGGTTCTGACTCATAGCGACCCTAAACAGGGTTTCCGAGGCTGTAAATCTTTACGGGAGCAGAACGCCTCATCTTTCTCCCACAGAGCAGCTGGTAGTTTCAAACTGCTAACCTTGAGGCTCATAATGCTTTTATACTGATTAAATTTCACTACATCTCTCTGATCTTTTTGGTTTTTTTTCATCTGCTACCTACCAGTTGAAATGTCCAAATGTGCATCTGTGAAGGAGTATTTGGGAATCTCTGATCTAATGCCTTGCTTGGATTTTGCAGATAAGAATGGAGGCGAGGAGGCAGGGCTGGCGATTTTAATCAGTCATGCCACTTCATCTGTAAACGGCCTTCTGGGACAGAGCCTGCTGTGAGTGACTCAGGCTGATGGAATGGGAAACTTTGCTGCCACATATATCAAACACCAGATACCAGGATCTGCTTCCTTATTGGTGTCAGGGATGGATGAAGCAAGGCAAAAGGGTGCAGCAAAAAACACCTTGGTCTAAGAGTCAAACATGTGCATTCTAATCAAATGTATCAGTAGTGTGACCCTTGATAAGTCACTAAAATGTGATGGGTTCCAATTCCCTGTATGTACCCTGGTGTGGTGCTGTAGGCTAAGCACTGGACTGCTAACCAGAAGGTCAGTGGTTCAAACTCACCAGCTGCTCCTTGGAAACCCTATACAGGGTCATTATGAGTTGGAACCAACTTATAACACTTAACAACAACCATGTGTGACCCAAATCCCCAAACTCAACGCCATTGCCACTGAGCTGATCCCGACTCATAGAGTCTCTACAGGACAGAGTAGAACTGCTATGCAGTGAACCTTTCTGGAAGCAGAATGCCTCATCGTTCTCCCAGAGAGTGACTGGTGGATTTGAACCGCTGACCTTTCGGTTAGCAGTCCAACGCTTAACCCAGAGTCACCAGAGCTCCTCCCATAAGTGACAAGAATGACAATGATCAATATTATCTTTAAGACATGACAGTATAATAGTGAGTCACAGAGATAGAGACACTAACCATCTGCAAGCAGCCATGTGCTTGCTGCTCCTGTCTTTACCCCTCTGAGCCTCATAGTGAGCCTGAAGCAGGCAGGGTGGGTAGGATTTACATCTGTTTGTAGAAATGAAAAACAGCTCATGGAAAAATTCCATTCTCATTTCATTCCATTTTCCATGAAATTTTGAAGCAATACCCAAGATCTGCTGGCTTAAGGTACACATCTGTACCATGTATAATTGGTTAGCAATGACCGTCTCCTGAAAACCGAGGTGAAAGCACTTTGGAAAAATGAGCCAATTTTTACTGAGCACATACTATGTGCTTGGCTCCATTTAACACATTCCATTGGCCTCATTTGGTATTCAAGAACACCTTCTGAGTCATGTACATTTTACAGGTGAGGAATGGTAAGGCTGAGGAGCCAATGGTCACAGCAGGTAGGAGGAAGAAGTGGAAATCCACCCCCTCTTGATCTGATTTTGGGGCTTCATGATCTTTTCTCTACGAAGGTGCAGAATGGCATAGCTCCTGGTAAAAATGTGTTTGGAACGGAGACAACTGGGTAAAAGGCTTTTCTGGTTTCTGGAGGAGAAACTGAACAGTGTAGTAAAGGTGTGCATACCAATTCCATTTATCTCATCAATATGAGGAGAAGTGGGCAAGCTCCTTCTAAGATGTTGGCCCAGAATCAATGGTTGTTGTTGTCAGTTGCCATCAAGTCAACTCAAACTCATTGTGACTCCACGTGATCCCATGTAGAACTGCCCAATGGAATCTTCTTGACTATTGCATTCTTAGTGTGGCACTGTAGGATAAGTATCGGACTGCTAACTACAAGGTTGACAGTTCAAACTCAATAGCTGCTCCTTGGAAACCCTATTTAGGGTTGCTTGCTGTGAGTCAGTACTTACTTGACAGCACTTAACAACAACAAATAAAAAAATCTTACTGGGAGCCTCCGGGTGGGTTCAAACTATCAACCTTTTAATTGGAAACTGAACACTTAACTGTTGTTCCATGTGGGCACCTTAGATTACATGGTATTTACCTTTTAACCACATTTTTTCACGAACTTTTTGAAGCCCCCTTGTGTATGTGAGAGAAAGATGAGGCTTTCTGAGCCTGGCAAAGATTTAAAGGCTCCGAAGCCCATACAAGGTGACTAAGGTGGCTATGGGTTGGAATTGACTTGATGACACATAACAACAACATATATGCTTTATACTTCATAAAGTCTCGTCTTAGATCTTATCTGTTATGTTCTGTCATTACAAACACATCTTTCTGATCAACTCCCGTAAGCTGTCGCATGACTTGACAATAATATCCAAGCAACTTCCTTCTACCAGAAACCACTTTGATAAGTTCATATTAAAGAAGCCAGATTATTTGGGAAAAGATATATTAAAAAAAAAAAAAAAAGTAGGGGAAGTGTCATCTTGAAAATTTTATCAAGTTGGCCTTATTATGATCCCTTTCTTTCCATACTATAAAAACTTTGGAAAAATCCATTAGAGTTTATGAAGCCCTTGTTGTTATTGTTAATTGCTGTCGAGTTGGTGCCGACTCATAGTTACCCTGTATAGAGTTTCCAAGGAGCGGCTGGTGAGCTTGAACCACTGACCTTGCAGTTCATTAGCCTATAGAACCACATCAGGAATCCGAAGCCCTACCTGAAGCCCTATATGAAGATAAAACTTATTGTGACTAAGTTGATTTCAACTTCTTGTGACCCCATAGGAGAGAGTAGAATTGTCCGCAGAGTTTCCAAGGCTGTAAATCTTTAGGGAAGTTGACTGACACGTTTTTCTCCCAAAAGGGGTGGGTGGATAGGAAGTGCGGACCTTTTGGTTGGCAGCCAAGTGTTTAACCACTATACCACCCGCCCCCCCGCCAAAGATGGAGACTGTTGTTGTTGTTAAGTGCTGTTGAGTTGGTTCCAACCCATAGTGACCCTGTATAGGGTTTCCTAGGAGTGGCTGGTGATCTTGAACCAGTGACCTTGTGGTTCAAACTGACTTTGCAGTTCAGTGCATTAACCCACAGTGCTATACCGGGACTCCGTAGATGGAGACAGTAGATAAAAATGAGGAGCTAGCCTACTCCAATGGAGTACGAGTGGACTGCTAACCACAAGGTCAGTGGTTCAAACTCACCTGCAGCTCCTCAGAATTTCTTTACAGGGTTGCTATGTGTTGGAACTGACTCAAAAATACTCAATAACACAACAGCCCACTCTAAAATATAGTATAACCTAAGTGGCGTTAGGACTAGAGATCTGTGTTTTGATGGCAAATGTCCATGTCCACTCACCTCTTCTCTAGACTGTTCTTAAGTGCCATTGTGTTGGTTTCAACTTATAGTGACCCTGCATAGGGTTTCTGAGGAGTGGCTGGTGAGTTTGAACTACCAACCTTGAGGTTCAAACTGACCTTATGATCCAGTGCTTATCCTACAGCACCCCACCGGAACTCCAGACTAGTTCTGATCAAACCCAGCGAGAAAGTAAGTCTCTAGATTAGCTCTAATCAAACCAGATGAAAAGGGAAGGTGGTGTCTTGGCTAGAAACAGAGCTCTTAAGTAAGGTCAGACAAAATGGCGGCAGATGACTGGCTTCTGAGAATAGGCTAATTCATTCCAGATGGCTGGGGTTGGCTAGGAAACTGCAACTGGCCACCACTGCATGTACAAGCACCGAGGTTTTGATGGCACCTGGCCACATGCAGGGACCATAATGACAGGGAGGGAGACACAGATAAAGATTGTTGCTCTCCCAGCTGCCTCTTAATTAGAAAAATTAATCTGACAAGCCTTCCATCCATGGCCTGTAAATAAGGACCATCAGTCCCCAGAGTGAGCGAGGGCCAGGGGCTCAGGCCCAGAGAAGGAATGTAAGAACAACAACAGTGTGGGTGAAGAAAGCTGAGTCTGAGTTCTCGTTGATTCCACATGCAGCCCTTCACTCCAGCAAACCACTAGCAGGGAATTAAATTCAACTCACATGGGCCAGTCGATCAAATCTGGCGAAGAGTTCATTGAGCATCCTGACCAGTTCCTGAGCAGACAAGGTTGTGGAGAGGCTGGTAAATCCTTTCACATCTGCAAAAAGAATACTAAACCACAAGGAAGGGTTGGGGTGAGAGAAAGCGTATTAGCATTTTAATTCCTCCCAGGAGACACATCAAATACCAACTAAAGAAACCAGTTCTCTATGGCTCCACAGCTTTTCCTTCTCCCTGCCATGGGCCTCGGGAGGAATGCCTAGGTACTCAGCAAATGTCTCAGCAGAGAAGTTGTCCACTGAGGGGTTCAGGAAGGGCAAGGGATGACGGAAAGCCCTTCTTCCTGTGCAGAGGTGTGCAGTGTGGGCAGTGATGCGTCACTATGAACAGATCTGTGCAAAGCCAGATGAAACGTTATGAAGAATCTACAGTTTCACAATGAAGATGGCACCAACTCAGGGCAAAATCAACACAGGGTAAAAGCAGAAATAAAATTCATTAGCTTGAGGCCAATATGTTGTGTGTCATCCAACTGATTCCAACTCATAGCCACCTTATAGGATGGAGTAGAACTGTATCATAAGGTTTTCTAGGCTGTCATCTTTATAGGAACAAATCACCTGGTCACTAAGTCTTCTCTCTGAAAGGACTGGCTGGGGAGGGGGTGTGTTTTGATTAGAAGCCCAGTTCTTAACCATTGCTCCACCAGGGTTCGTTTAATGATATATTCTTATTGTTAAGTGCCCTTGAGTTGGTTCTGACTCATAGTCACTCTATATAGGATTTTGAGGAGTAATTTGTGAGTTTGAACTGCTAACCTTGCAGTTAACAGTTCAGTGCATATCCTACAGTGCCACACCAAGGCTCCCTAATGATACATGTTGCTGTTGTTGTTGTTGTTAGGTGCTGTGGAGTCAGTTCCCATCTACAGCAACCTTTTGCACAACAGAAAACAATACTGCCTAGTCCTGCGTCATCCTCAAAATTGCTGCTACCCATGAACCCACTGCTGCTGTCACTGTGCCAATCCATCTTGTTGAAGGTCTCCCTCTTCTTCATTGGCACTCCACTTTACCAAGTATGATGTTTTTATCCAGAGACCGGTCCCTCCTGATAATATGGTAGAAGTATGAGAGATGAAGTCTTGCCATTCTGGCTTCTAAGGAGTATTCTGATTGTACTTCTTCCAATGCAACTTTGTTTGCTCTTACGGCAGTCCATGATACTTTTAATATTGTCCTCCAACACCATAACTTAAAAGCATCAATTCTTCTACGGTCTTCTTTATTCATTGTTCACCTTTCACATGCATGTGAGATTATTGAAAATACCATGGCTTGGGTCAAGTGCACCTTAGTCCTCAAGCTGACACATTTGCTCTTGAATACCTTAAAGAGGCCTTGTGCAGCAGATTTGACTTATGAAATACATTGTTTGATTACTTGACTGCTGTTTCCATGAGTGTTGATGGTTGATTTGAGCAAAATGAAGTCTTTGACAGCTTCAACCTTTTCTCCATTTATATGGATATTATTTATTGGTCCAGTGGGGAAGATTTTTATTTTCTTTGCATTAAGGTGCAACCCATGCCGAAGGCTATGGTCTTTGATCTTCACAAATGATCTATCCAAAATGGCAGGCAAATAGTTAAGACACTTTTTTTTTTTTTTTTTTTCTGGGAAATTATGAACACATATGGCAAAGTTTGGAGACCACAGGCAAAATAACCAATTACCTATAACTCTCACATATACTAAAAACTTCAAGTAAATGAGGACTGTTTGGCTTGGTATAAACACCTGTTGCCATTGAGTTCATTCCGATTCTTGGGGACCCCATGAGTTATAAAGTAGAACTGCACTATAAGGTTTTCTTGGCTGCTAATCTATGCGCTAGACTGCAAAGTCACTTTGAACTGCAAGGTCAGCAGTTTAAGCTCACCAGCTGCTCCTTGGAAACCCTATACAGGATCGCTATGGGTTGGAACCGACTTGATGACACTTAACAACAACAATCTTATGGGAGCAGAATACTAGGACTTTCTTCCACAGACCTGCTTGGGTGGGGCTTCAAAGCTCCAGTCTTCAGGTGAGTAGGTGGTGAAGTGCAAACTGCTTGTGTCACCTACAGGGACTGGCTTAGAATGAAAGAAGAGGAAACTAAGGGAAGGGGCCATTCTCAAAGTCATCTAAAAGCCAAGCACACAAGCCCATTGACTCTGTCACTTCTTCCTTTGAAATGAGTGGACAGGTACTGTCTTCTGTGCTAAGGACAAGAGGAAGCTAAGGCTAATGGAGGAGTCTGTGGTTAGCATGTAGTAGAGTTGGGATGGCTCACTTAGAGAACCATACCCTTCCACATCTCCAGGGACTCATGCCTATGCTAGTCTTTCCTCATCACATGAAGAGAACCTTTGTCCCTGAGTCACTTACTGGCCAAGAAGCTCGGAGTGGACAGTTGAGTGAGGCAGGAATGAATTATTGAGTTAAAAGCATTGAAATTGGAGAGGTCTATTTGTTACAGCAGTAAGCATTACCCTAACTCATTCAAGAAGTGTCTTAAATATCTAGAGTATAAAAACAGGAAAGTTAAATAGAATTAGGCAGATGGAATGAATGAGAAGACCAAATAGGAAGATGCATTGAATCAAGAATCCAAATTTTTGGTCCAATTCAAAGAGCTCGGTTTTTCAATGAGGAAACGGAAGTCCAGAAACAAATGAAATGGTTCAACCAAAGTCCTACAGGGATGGTTGCTGAAGAAGGTTGTGGATGACAACTAGCTCTGCTAGCACCCAGTCCACCTGGGCATGTGAGTCCTGTAGCATGGCGACTCCTAGCTTGCTCCTAACTGATGGGAAACAATGAACTATGTGACATATAGCAAAGATGTCAGCAAATAGAGCAGATTGTGTTTAGGAAGGGACCATGTTACCTGCACAATCCAAAGTAGCTGAGCAAGGAAGGATAAACCAGGTAGGTTGCTATGAAGAAGATGATGAGATTGGAAATGATTCAAACATGCTCCAAACCCCACAGTGGGTTTGCTTTGGGGACTGGGAAGGGAGGGGTCCTTAGCCTTGACCTTTTTCATTTCTGCTCTTACTTTAGCATCCTGCAGCCGAGCAGTGGGCAGGAGAGGCCCTCTAGCCTGTGTTGTTTTCAGTTCTAAAACTTCTAGGAGCTGTTGGCTTCTCATCACTGCTGCTGTGACCCATTCTAGGGGATGCTGGTGCAGTGGTGGGGTTCTGGGGGCATTCTTCTCCCCTAGAAATAACTCTGATCACTGAGGATATACTGAGAAATGTGGGGCAACCATGCAGTTTTAATTAGTGGGTGTGGTGTGGATTTTTGGAGAGGGGTCTCAAGTGTAGGAGCTCAGTTTGATCATTTACAATAAATGGACATGGAGTGGGGGAAGAGGAGAAGGAAAGCTGGCTGATCAGGATGAAGGAAAGCTACAAACATTAATCAGAGCAGTAAGCAAGCCCAGTGTGGTATTTCTTGAACTTCACTGAGGGTGCTTAGTGTTTTGGTAAGGGTGTGTGAGTTTGTTTGGCTTTTTCTTTTCTTGGGTAGTTCATTTTTCACTTTCGCTATGGTGGGTGACAAGCACTTTCATAACATACTATATGCATGTTGTTGCTGTTAGGTCATTTTTGAATGCAAAGTAACTCCATGTGATAGAGTAGAAGTGCACCATCGGGTTTTCTGGGCTGTAATCTTCAAGCTCACCAGCCGCTCCTTGGAAATCCTATACAAGGTCGCTATGGATTGGAACTGACTCAACGGCACTTAACAACAACAACAGTCTTTAAGGGAGTGGACCACCAGGTCTTTATTGCATGGAGCCTTTTGAGACTTTTAGTTTGCAGCCAAGTCCTTAATGCTTGTACCACCCTTTTCTTCCAATACATCCCTTCAATTTCTGCTCCCTCTTGTTGTTGTTGTTGTTGTTAAGTGCCGTCGAGTCGGTTCCGACCCATAGCGACCCTGTACAGATCACAGGGCCTCCTTGTTGCTGGGGAAGCAGTTGCAAAACCAACTATTATTCTCTGCAGGGACCACCCCCAGCCTTTACTTAGGCTGATCTCCACCCAGGATTCATGCCATTATCTTTTTCCAGTTGACTGACTCAAGCTCAATTAGGGTTCCCTTCTCTCAGGAACATTTTCACCTTTTTGTGATTCCTGATAACCTTTGCTTACCTTGATAATAGAACCCCCAGTCAGAAAACAAGGTAAAAAACCATTGCCATTGTGCTTACTTAGATACAAGGAAAGCCCGTGTGTGTCAGGGTAGAACTGGGCTCCATAGGGTTTTCAGTGGCTGATTTTTGAGAAGTAGATCATCAGGCCTTTCTCCAAGGTATCTCTGAGTGACCTTGAGCCTCTGACATTTCAGTTAGCAGCCAAGTGCATTAACTGCTTCTTTCACCCAAGGACTCCATATTATAATGAATAGGCATTAATTGTTCTACAAATGATATTGGTGACTTCCTGTTTTCTATGGGATCAGTTCCTAGTTCTAGGGTGTATTCTATTGGGGTTGATGTTTGGCAAGAGACTATTTTATAAATCAAACATCTAATCAGTGTTGATTATGGAGGCCAAGTGTTAGACAAGACCAAAGTGATGACTTAGACTGATATGTCAGATAAAGGACGGTGTTGGAGTCACGTTGTTTATTTGCTTTGAAATGAGTGTGCCCTCATGCCAGGCATAGAACCCATAGTTGCTATTGTTGCTAGATGCCATACAGTCAGTTCTGACTCACAGCAACTATATCCACAACAGAATGAAACACTGCCTAGTCCTGAGCCAACCTCCCAATTGTTGCTACACTTGAGCCCATTGGCTGCCACTGTGCCAATCCATCTCATTGGGTGTCTTCCTCTTTTTCGATGACACTCTAGCAAGCATGATGTCCTTCTCTAGGGATTGATCCCTCTTGAAAACATGTCCAAAGTATGACAGATAAAGTATGGCCATCCTGGCTTTTAAGGAGCATCCTGGCCGTACTTCTTCCAACACAGATTTGTTTGTTCTTTCAGCGGTCCATGGTAGTCTCAATATTCTTCTCATACACCATAATTCAAATGCATTGATTCATCTACGGTCTTCCTTATTCATAGAGATACCAACAAAAGGGAAATTTTGTTCTTCCTTTCTCCAAAGTTAGGAAGAAAGACACTAAGAGTGGCTATTGACCATTTTTAGAGTTGTTCAACATATGATCCTTCCCCCTATGCTTGGGAAATTTCCACTTTCTAGTATTTGCTTGATAGAACCTTCTGTACTGCACAAGGAGAGTCCCTGAACAATGCAAATTTTCGATGTGTTTCCTGCTAACAGAAAGATTGTTGATTCTAGTATTTCCACAGGTGTCTTAAAAGAAAGACCTGGTGATGGGCTTCTGAAAAATTAGCCATCAAAAATCCTATGAAGCACAGTTCTTCTCCGACACACACGGGTCGCCATGAGTTGGAGCTGATTCAATGGCAACTGGTCTTTTTTACTGTACACGCTGAAAACATTGGAGACTACTAGCAATGAATGGGCTCAGACAACCAGACACAACTGCCTCAGCTTTAAATTGAGATGTGAAAAAGCAGGAGGAGCAGAGAATGGGGGCAGGCAAAGGCAGTAGCACCCAGTTTCTGGGGCTGCAGGAGCAACTGTAGAGGAGGCATGCTATGTCAGGAGCAGGGAGTTGGTGACATAGCAATGGACTCTTCAGAGACAGGGCATGTGACTCTGGCTATGTTCCCAATTCTGTGGTTTTGATGATACTAGACATTCCCAAGGGTGACTTTAATCTTCCCCAGTCATTCTGTCATCTGCCATAAAGCCTTTTGATACAGTTTTTTTTTTTTTTTTTTTTTTTTCTCCTCTCCTTTTTCTGTGATTATAGACTACAGTATCCAATCTAGTTTTTTTGGTGGGTTTCTTTTGCTTGCAACTAAGAAACGTATCTGAAGCTGTATGAATGCTATTCTTACCTCTGTCCTATGCTTTGTAAATAACTTGACTCATATAATTTTTATAAAAGCTTGCAGGATGGCCATTAAAATAAAACCCTGAAACTTAGGAAAATAAATTACCAAAGGCCACACAAAGGAAGAGGCAGGATTGGGGTTCTAAAGCTGCTCTGTCTCACTATGGCACTTGCTTTCTGATTTTCATTATACCACGCTGTCTAGCTCAGGTTTCAGCATGAAGATTGCATTGATAGACAGACGATGGGTGGATGGATGGATGGACAGATGGGTGGATGGATAGATGGACAGATGGATGGATGGACAGATGGACGGATGGATGGAAGACTGATTGACCAAATAAATATTTGCAAAGGAAAGAGACATAGTACTCCTTTTATCTTGTTTTCAAAACACTCAGAAATAGACAAGAGGAGACTTATGTGCTTAGCCTTGAGGCCTCCAAATCGCATTCTGAACTTATTTTTCCAATCATGTTCCAAAAGGCTTTTGCTTCTCCCACTCAAAATGTAGACAGCAAGTTTGCTTCAGGGAAGCCAGGCAGTAAGTCAACTGGCAAATCTAATTGCATTCCTCTGACACCATTCTTGAGCCTCAATTTGGAAATGTAGAGCCCTATAATGAATAATAACTCATTAATGAATGGATCAAGCATGTGAGGGAAGGTGCTGATAGAACCACGGTGAGAGAAGTGCTGCCGGGTACACATGGAGCCCATGGAGGGCCGATGGGTGTCATTCCTCCCACCTGACGTTCTCGTAGCGGTGGATGTAGATCCGGTGGAACTGGTGCTGCAGGTGCTCGTCTTCCACGTTGGTCATGTCGTTGATCATTTCCAGGACGACAAATCTGGGGAGAACAGACAGCACAAGCCGCTCCTGGAAGGAAATACGAAAAAGGACAGTCTAGTTAGCTTGAGCAATGCCTCTAAGATTGGTGGGTGGAGGGTATAGCTGTCATAGGGTGCAGGAGTGCAACTTTGTTGTCCTTCCTGAAGAATTGCTTATTTCCTACCACTACGGGATCATGACAGATATTGAGTGTTTACTATTTGCCAGACACCATTTGGTTTGTTGAGTAAATAATGCTGAACACAATGGATGGTCTCTACCACTGTATGCCACTTACATTCTAATAGGGAAGACAGACATTAAGTCTTACCCACCCACCCATGAATGCCATGCAATAAAAGGCCATGATGGCAGAGTATGGTCATTGATACATGATTCAAACCAGAGATCTGGAATGACCTTCATTGGCATCAACTGTGGTTGCTATCATCTACCAGTGTGGTAACACATGAAGTCACTTCCCACTCCCACCCCCATGGACCTCCTCCTGCACCAGACCATACAGAATCCTTAGTAACATTTATCATTAGTTTGAATCATAGAATCCTATGTGATACAGTTGTAAATTGCTTAAATGTAATCTTTCTTAGATTATATTAAAACTAACAACAAAATTGCACCGTAAGATCCTTCTAAGTTGAATTACATTATTAGTTACATTATTAGTATCTGAGTGAAAGCCTCTTCTGATTTCTCTCCTTCTTTTCCTTTAATTACTACTTCAGTCTAAAAAAATTATTGATATAGGTTCACAAATACTACTTACCACAATATTATAGCTGAAACACCAGAAAGATTGACAAAATCAGTGACAAAATCAGTAACGAAACAACAGTGTGTACTTGTATTGAGTGTAGGCAAGCCATTGAGTGTGATTCGAAGTGTCATCGTAAATGAGTAATAATGAGAAAGCTGGACAGAGTGTACTAGGAGGCTCTAACTGCAGTAAATGAGTATAGACTTGTAGCCTTGTAGGTACACTGACTGATACATGGAAGTCAGACTCCTGCTGTGGTGCTCTAGGATAATCTCTGTGTCAAACAGAAGAGGGACCTGACGCTTGATAGATAGATACATGTTCTTCCCATTGGGATCACCAAGGTCGATATAAACACTGAAACTGGCTAATTAGCAGGTGAAGTAAGTCCTGCAAAGGTTTCTTCCATATGGTTTGCCATGATGTGGAACTGAGTTTAAGACAGAAGTGATCTAGTCATCATAATTTCTCATTTAGGTATTTGTTGTCATTGTTGTTAAGTACGATCAAGTTGTTTTGACTCATAATGACCTTGTATAGGGTTTCTGAGGCTTTAAATTTTCGAGGGAAGAGAAAGCCTCATCTTTCTCCCATGGAGCAGCTGGTGGGCTCGAACCTCGGGCCTTGTGAATTTAAAAAATTCCCCACTATCCATTCTTAGATATGTTCCTTGCAAAACCCTGAAAGATTAGCAGGCATGACCAATTATTTTCATTTAATGGACAGACTGAGTCTTCTTGTTATTAAGTGACATTGAGTCAGTTCCAATTCCTAGTGATCTGTGCAGCAGTGGCTGGTGGGTTTGATCCACTGACCTTGTGGTTAGAAGTCCTGTGCTTATCCTACAGCAGTACTCCAGGACTCCAGTCTAGGGGATGGCATGACTTGTACATCCTGAACCGTTATCAAGAAGCAGAACCAAGATACATGCTTTTACTTCATCATTGTCGTTGTTGTTGTTAAGTGCCATCAAGTCGGTTCCGAACCATAGTGACCCTGAACAGTGTTTCGGAGGCTGTAAATATTTACAGGAGCAGAAAGCCTTCTTTTTCTTCTGCGGAGCAGCTGGTTGTTTCAAACTGCTGACCTTGCGGTTCACAGCCCGATTCGTAACCACTACACTTCATCATTGTTGTTGTTGTTAAGTGCCATCGAGTCGGGTCCGACCCATAGCGACCCTGTACAGGGTTTCCGAGGGTGTAAATCCTTACGGGAGTAGAAAGCCTCATCTTTCTCCCGCGGAGCAGCTGGTAGTTTCGAACCGCTGACCTTAAGGTTCGCAGCCCGATTCGTAACCACTACGCTACCAGAGCTCCTTACACTTCATCATTATTGATGGGGAAAACCCAGGCTTTTTAGTCTACCAGGAGTTTGGATTCCACCTCCATCACTTAATGCTAATATAGAATGGGACCAGACACTTTACCTCTCTATGCCTTAGGTTTTTAATCTGGCAGATATAAATAGTATCTACTACACAGGGTTCAATGTGAGAATTCAATGAAATAAACTATTCAAGAGCACTGACATCAATTTTAAGCAACTCTGGTGGGTTATGAATGGATTACAAGCTGGGCTGCCAACCACAATGGCAGGAGTTCGTATTTAACTGTCATTCCATGGGAGAAAGATGAGGCTTTCTACTCCTGTAAAGATTTACAGTCTCGGAGACCCGCTACAGGGTCACTATGAGTTGGAACCGTTGTAACAGTACCCCACCCCCACCACTTCTTTCCTCCTCATCCTTCATGGAGTGCCTGCTGAGCTTAGAGTAATGAGCATTCCTCCTCTCTAGAAAGCAGTCCTGTCATGTGAACCCTGAGGGCAGTGCTGCTTCTTGTGTTTTTTTTGTTTTTTTTAAATGTAAAACATTTAATTTAAAAATGTCCACAGAACAATGTATGGCATAGCTATTACAAATGCACATAGTGTATTACATGGAGTCCTGGTGTGGCACTGTGGGCTAATGCACTAGACTGCAAAGGTGTTTGAACTGCAATGTTGGTGGTTCAAGCTCACCAGCTGCTCCCTGGAAACTCTATATAGGGTCGCTATGGGTCAGAATTGACTCCACGGCACTTCACAACAACAGTGTATTATATAGCTGCCGGGTTTCCTTTATTTTATTTTATTTTTAGGAAACAGTAAGCTACACTGTGGTTGAGACTTGTATCTCTTCACCCAAGAAAAAGTCCACATTCGATCATAGTGATGTTTGATCAGACTTAACAGCCCCAATTGTTCAACACTTGAATCAAGTCATAACCATTTTTGTTGCAAAAGGACCCTGGACACATTTATTTCTCAATTCTAGTATGGTAACAGCTCCCCAACAAGTCAGTAACACACAGAACCATGCATCAGGAGACAAGAAGTGATCACCCAGCCCTTGTGCGGATCAGCGATTTGTCCCGCCTGAGCCACAGTGCCCACATCACAGAGGTCTGTCAACAGTCACTTTTTGCATTGTATAAATGCAATATATGATAAACAATTTCCTACAAAAAAGTCACAAATTAGACCAAAGTATTTTACAGAATTGACTACAAAACACCATAAAAAACGGCCTGGTGCTTAAGCTCGCTCCCTGCATATCCGGTGGGCCAGCAGGATGTCTTTGGGCATGTTGGTGACTCTCTTGGGGCGAATGACGCACAGGTTGGCGTCTCGGAACAGGCCCACCAGGTACATTCGCTAGCCTCCTGCAGGGTGCCGATGGCTGCACTCCAGAACCTCAAGTCTGCCTTGAAGTCCTGGGCAATCCTTGCCCAGCCTTGGGAAACTCAGCTTCCTGATGAGCAGATTCGGGTAGCGGCCTGCAGAAGTGGGACATCTTCTTCCCTCCTGTTGAGGGGGCACTCTTCCGGGCCACCTTGGTAGCCAGCTGTTTGTGGGGGCCTTCCCCCCAGTGGATTTCCAGGCAGTTTTCTTGGTTCCGGCCATTTTTCACCAAATGCTGATGTCTAGGACCACTTCTCTGATGACCGTGTCGCTGAAGCTGTCCAAAGGAGAACTGCTGTCCTCGCAGAAACGAGGTGCTCCTCTGACAAACCACCAAACAGGTCTGCTCCAGGGCAGTGCTTCTTACAGATGTCCCTGCATCATGCCCAGCCCGTGTCTATTAGTCAACCTCACCAGTCCTTGCCACCCTTTCTCACAATCACTGCTGGACTAGAGGAAGTGCCACCCGAGACTTTGAGGGCACACATGCTTTCCTGGTATCTGGGGATGTGGAATAGAGTTGTGGCACACTGGACTGACTGTCTGAGCTAAGTCATGGTATGTGGATGTAGTGTGGAGTACAAGGTCCACTCTCACCCTCAGGACACCAGGGTCAGCTTGTGAAATCATTCTATGGTGAATCATGCTCCCACTAGCACTGCTTAGGGGTGAGGTCTAAGACCTCAAGAGATAGAGGGTTAAGCGAAGGAAGTAAAAGGCGCAGAGAATCAGAAGACAATTGTTGTTAACTGCCGTTGAGTCGGTCTCAATTCATAGTGACCCTGTATAGGGTTTCCAAGGAGTGGCTGGTGAGTTTGAACAGCCTACCTTGTAGTTCAAACCGACCTTGTGGTGCAGTGCATTATCCTACAGTGCCACAACAGGACTCCTTACAAGACAATGGTGAGCCCCAACCCTCCAAGTCAAACCATTTCTGTTGACCCAATCCAACTCACAGTTCCCCCATGCATGTCAGAGTGAAACTGTTCTGAGACCCTCCAGACTTGAATTTTCAGGAGTAGAATACAAGCTTCCTCACTGAGATGCCCCTGTATTTGAACCTCCAATCTTTCAGTTAGCAGTCGAGCATATTAGCTGCTTACACCACTCAAGAACTCCTGGAAAATTTTTGTTTGTTGTTGTTGTACGCCATTGAGGTGGTTCTGACTCATAGCAACCCTGTGTAGGGTTTCTGAGAAATGGCTATTTAGCATTAACAGCCGACTTTACGGTGAGCAGTGCAGTACTTTATCCTACAGCGCCATACCAGGTTCTAAAAGGATACTTCCGAAGCAAAGGAGTGAGTACTTTGGAGTCTCCATCTCATGCTGCCACCCCGACAGTGGCCAGTGGCCAGCACAGTCGCTGGTATGAGATCCTCCAGAATGATTTGGTAACAATTGTACAAGGTTGCTACAAGTCGCAACTGACTCTATGACATTTAACAACAACAACCACAGTCTTTAGGTGCCTTTGTGTATTTAGCCCTCAGGAACCATGTCATTGAAGCTTCCATCAATAACTGGCGGTGGCGGTGGTTGTGCGCCTT